CTCATTGGATCAGATGAACTTTGCAGATATATACAGAACATTCCATCCTAAAACAACAGACTATTCATTCTTCTAGGGTGCACACTGAAATTTCTCCAGAATAGATCACATACTGGGTCATAAATCAGTCTCAACCAATACCAAAATATTGAGATTATTCCCTGCACATTTTCAGAGCACAGTGCTTTGAAACTGGAACTCAACCACAAAGAAAAATTTGGAAGGAATGCAAACACTTGGAAGTTAAAGAGCATCCTTCAGAATGCTCTTCTAAAGAATGAATGCATCAACCAGGAAATTAAAGAGGAACTTAAACAATTCATGCAAACCAGTGAAAATGAAAACACACCAGTTCAGAACCTATGGGATACTGCAAAGGCTGTCCTTAGAGGGAAGTACATAGCCATCCAAGCCTCCCTCAGAAAATTAGAAAAATCCCAAATGCACAAGCTAAACTTACACCTAAAGGATCTGGAGAAAGAGCAGCAAATAAAGCCTAACCCAAGCAGGAGAAGAGAAATTAAAAAGATTAGAGCAGAAATCAATGAAATAGAAACTAGAAGAACAGTAGGACAGATCAACAAAACTAGAAGCTGGTTCTTTGAAAGAATTAATAAGATTGATAATCCTCTGGCCAGACTTATGCAAAAGAAAAGAGAAAGGACCCAACTTAATAAAATCATGAATGAAAGGGGAGAAATCACAACCAATACCAAAGAAATAGAGACAATTATGAGAACTTATTACCAGCAGCTATATAGCAACAAACTAGACAATCTGGAAGAAATGGATGCATTCCTGGACACTTATAAACTACCAAGACTGAAACAGGAAGAAATAGACAAACTGAACAGACCAAGAACCAGTAAGGAAATTGAAGCAGTAATCAAAAACCTCCCAAAAAGCAAGAGTCCAGGGCCAGACGGCTTCCCAGGGGAATTCTACCAAACATTTAAAAAAGAAATCACACCTATTCTACTGAAGCAGTTTCAAAAAATAGAAATGGAAGGCAAACTTCCAAACTTGTTCTATGAGGCCGGCGTTACCCTGATCCCAAAACCAGACAAAGACCCCATCAAAAAGGAGAATTACAGACCAATATGTTTGATGAATATGGATGCCAAAATACTCACCAAGATCCTAGCCAATACGATCCAACAGTACATTAAAAGGATTATTCACCATGACCAGGTGGGATTTATGCCTGGGATGCAAGTGTGGTTCAACATTCTCAAATCAATCAATGTGCTAGATCACATTAAAAAAAGAAGAGACAAGAACCATATGATCCTCTCAACTGATGCAGAAAAAGCATTTGACAAAATACAGCATCCTTTCCTGATTAAAACTCTTCAAAATATAGGGATAGAGAGAACATACCTCAATATCATAAAAGCCATCTACGACAGGGATTTTTGAATACCTAATAACTAATATGTGCATTGAACCACTGCATACACTGAAAAGGGATAGGAGATATATGAGACATAGCCTCATGCTTGAAATGTTTACAATCTCATATAAACATGTGCACAATAATAAATTACATGTACGACAAACAATAAAGCTTCTGGAAGATTTTCTTGGTCAGACATTATTAGGGAGCCCATTACAGAGGACATAGGATTTAGATTGTTCCCTGGAAGATTTTCCAAAGGCAAAGAGAAGAGGGGAGGATATTCTTAGAAGAAGAACTAGCACAAAAAAAGAAAAAGACAGACAGCCAGAAATAAAGAAAGGAGGGAAGGAAGGAAGGAAGGAAGGAAGGAAGGAAGGAAGGAAGGAAAGAAGGAAGGAAGGAAAGAATGGAAACATCTATTGCTTAGAGAAATAAGGTCACAAATTGGGACTAGGAATGAGAAGGGATGGCTGATTCTCAGAGATGGACTCTTGTCCCCAGACTAGGATGAGATGCTAATAATAGCGGGAGCAACAGCATTCAAAATACTATCACTCTGATTTGGTATATTTAAGCTGACTAGTTCCATTCTCAACCCACACTAGAATTTGCCTGGCTCTCTGTTTGCTCATCTTTCACTTACTGTCTTATGTTATGTATTAATGTGTAATGTTCTGCATTATCTTTAGAGCGAAGGCTCTGAAGCATGGGACAGGGCTCTTACTGTTTCATGTATCCAGGACACAGTAAGTTCTTGGTAAATATCAAATCATAGAATCATGCCTGTAGACCCCTGAGCCAGGGAGAAACAGAGTGGCAATGGAGGGAGGCACATGTCTCGGGTCCTGACCTGGAACTCACTGCACTTGGAAGTCTAGTAGGAGGGTGGACCATTCAGGGGCCTCCAGAAGCCTCACTTCAGGGAATAGGCAAAGCTAGATCCTGCTCTCCTCCAATGAAAGTGCTAATTCTGGTGGGTCAATCCCCAATACCATGATGAACTTCATTGTACTAAAAATGACTGGACTTTGAGACTTCAGGGGGCAAGCGTTATGAGGAGTGGTCTGGGGGAACTGGAGAGGAAGCACGGATGTTCGCCCAGAGAGGAACCTCCAAGAAGAGCCCTTAGCCTTTGATTAGGGTTGGTGGGGGTTGGGTAGTTGTTAGTTAACCTCAAGGAAACACATTTGAGATGCATGAAGTGTCAGAGTGTGGGCTTATGTGGTATGAGTCCGGGTGGGGAAAAGGAACAACTGGTAAAAAAAAAGACCAGAATTACTCTGCCCTCCCAGTGCTTAGTGTCCATGACCCCTTTCTGAGGAGCAGTTAGGGCTATTTCTGATGCCTGACAGGGAGGAGAAGGGCAGAGGAGGAGAAGGAGAGAGAGGAGAGAGAAGGAAGTAAGGGAAGAAGGGGTCGGATTTCTGAGGCTCCATAACTCAGGTGCTCCCACGGTCCTGTTTTAATGGACTGAGAAAGGCTTCATACCATCTCCCACCTTCTATTTCACTTACACGGACTCTCCTCTCCCTTCAACCAAATTACATGTCAAAGCCTACCTCCCCCTGGGAGCCTTCCCAGATGAAGCAGGTAGGCCCAGATAGTCTTGTCCTGATGGATTTGCTCCAGTATAGCTGCTCCTGTGGCTTTGTCCCACTCTCCACCCTGGTTTGGTCCTCATCTGTCACCCCACACCCCAACCTTGCTCACCTTTGTCCTATGTATGACTTGAAGTCTTTGAGGACAGCCCCTATAATCAGAATATTCTTCTAATTGCTCATCTTTTTCACTTACTCACCTGTTTCCTGAGTCCCTATTGTGTGCTAGGCACTTAGAACACAGAGGAAGGCAAGACACTATCCCTACTACCAGGAGTTTAAATAGGATCTTTTCACATACCTGGCACATGGGCAGCAATTCTGAGACAGACGCCTCCAGAAGTGAGGGACGGTTTTCAAAGAGACTGTTCCCATCCTAAGCACAGCCAACATGTGCTGGTATCAATTTTCATAAAAGATAAAGGAAAATTTTTCACTCCGCAAAAAGCTTTTCCTTGGGGTCTCTCAAAAATTGCATAAACAGTAGCAGGGTTTACAAATGTTTAACTCTCCACACTTTTCTCAGCCTGATCTGTAAGATGAGGTCTGCCCACTGATTTCTCTGTACTGTTTATGAAAGGGTGTTCCCAGAAGCCTTCGGTGTGGATGGTGAACACAAGAGATTAAGATTTGAGCCACAGAACAAAAACGAGTGCATTTTGGTTTTTTCCTATTTTTTGTTCTCCCAAAATGCAAAGTCTATTTTAATGACACATAGATTATTCCATTCCACAAATATTAATGAGCATCTTCTTTATGTCAGGGACAGTATCAGATCCTAGGAATTTAGAAGTGATAAAGACAAGGTCCTGTAATCAAGGAAGTGGATAATAAAGGTGATAGGACAAATATGTAGGTCACCTTGGTCATGAGCAGCTATAAAGGCTGTGAGAGGTATCTCTGACATTCAGAGGAGGGAGGACTTGGATGTGGCCTGGTGGACTAGGCAAGTTACCATGGAGGTGGTGACCTTGAACTGAGTGGTAGAAAGCATGGATGAGGGGTGGAAGTGGGCAAGAAGGGTCTTCATCAGACTTGGGTGGCATTGAACTTGGTCCTTCCCCACCAATCCTAGAGAGATCTCCACAGTAATCAGATCCCTCTCAGGCCCCCAGAGATGTCATCTAGACTTGGCCAGTGTACCCACCCCAATCAGGCCACTCTGAAGGCCACAGCCTCTGGTCACTCATTCGCACGGGATTCCCTTTGGCCCACATCCTGCTGCATGCCACTCACTGAGGAATTCAGCCCTGGGTATTGTGAAACATTCATATAAATAGTCCACACACAGCTGCCCTCCAATAATATGTAGCCTGAAGGCTTCACTGGAGGATCTATAAAAGGCCTCCGGACTCCTCCTTCTGGGATGATTTGTCCACACATCCTCCTCTAGGGTAAGGCTACCTCTGGGTGAGGAGACACTTGTATGTCCCTCACTCAGACGCTGCCAAGGCAGGCCTGATCTCTCCTCTCACTTCTGCCCAGGGGGTAGATAAGCCAGGTAAGAGAGCTTTGGGGCAGGGAGAAAGGAAGGGAGGTGGTCCCCACAAAAGACCTCAAATGATTTAACATGGGAGAAAGTCATAGAAGCCAGAGGGTCTGAAGAAGCGAAGAAGATACACCCAGGCTTAGGAATCTCAGGGCAAAGTAAGACTGAGTGAAGAAAGAGCAGAGATTCATTTCTCCTTTACACCTGACAATGGTGGACCCTGGTCTGGGAAAGTAGACAATCTACTCAACTCAGCTTCACTTTGTTTAGGAAGGGGAGTAAGTTATTAGCTTGGTTCTTGGTGAGTGGGTCCCCTGGGAGTTCCCACCATGGCTTACTCCCCAAATTTACCCACTCAGATCCATTTCTGTCCCTCCTAGGATGGATTTAGCAGATTGTAAATGCCAGCTTTATTTTGACAGCTCCAGCCCATGGAGAAAAGAAACAGATACCCAAGGCCCTGACTTAACTGAATTCTCTTTTTTCCTTTCAGCTTCCACTTGCTAACCCAATGATGTCACAGCAGAAGCAGCAAGCCTGGGAACCCCCTAGTGCTCCCAAATGCTCATCTCCCCAGTGCCCAACCCCCACCCTGGCTGTCTGCTCTGCTCCTTGCTGTGACCCCCATTCAGGAGGCTGTGATTCTGGTTCCCAAAAGCCTGGGAAGCAGAGTCCTGGCCGTTCTCAGAGGGCTCACCGCAAGAAGCCCCGCTGCCTCAGTGGTGGCACAGTCTACCACATCAAAGAGGAGGAATGCTGAGGTGACCAGCCCAAAGGAGAGGGACATGGGTACAGTTGCCCTCTCCCATCCAGCTTTCTGCACTCACACCGCTGGGAAGCTCAGGCTCTCCCCCTCTAGTTAGTGCTGGGAAACACTTCCTGGCCCCTATAAGCCGCACTCCTGCTTCAGTCTTCCACCCGCCCCTTCAGCTCAGCAGCAACGTGGAGCCTGAGCCCTGGCTGCTGTGAATCCCTGAGGTTGCCAGAGGGACTGAGGCTTCCACAAGTGGATGCTGCCCCTTCTTTCCTTCCAAGATGTTGACTGGTGGTGTTTCAGAGACACATGGTTTGAGATTTCTGTCTCAGCATCCTTATAGCCATCAACCTATGTCATTGCATAATCCTTACATTGAAAGATTTTGTGTGACAAACATATGTTGAGCATCTGCTCTATACTGTGCTCTGTGTTCCCAGATGTAATAGGAGATTTGTTTCTGTTCTAGAAAAGCTTACAGTCTAGTGGGAGAAACAGTGTTACATTGTAGATTGAAATATGCAGACTAATAAATACAATTTCAAGGTGATTGACATACTTCTTTTTTTTCTCACTTTGTGTGAACTCAATGGGGGAAAAGAGTACAAAAGGTCAAGGAAAGAAGGGAAAGACTCATCCTGATGGTGTAGATTAAAAGTGGTGTCCCTGGAAAGAGAAATCTGAAGCAGAGAGAGCATGTTGCTTGGGGGAGAACCGACCTCTGGGGTGGGTAGCATTTCAACAGGGCTTTTAAAGACAAGCGGACTTTGGTGTTGGGGATGGAACAAGGATGAGGAACTTTCCAGGTAGAAATGATACTTTTCATGTACAAGTGGGATACTTGCCACTGACACGCATTTCAATTTGGCTAGACTGCCAGCGTGAGAGGATCATATGGAATAGCTCATAGCCAGGTATGAAACTGCAGCTCCCAAAGGACTTTTGCCCTGGGGTGGGGAGGACCTGAGGTAAAGTAGAGGGGCCTGGAGGGGCTTGAGGCTCAACATGGTTGCATATCAATATAAGTTCCGGGTAATAATTTTTAGTTGATTCTCATTTTCTGGGGGAAACTGAAAATATGTTTTTAACTAAGTACCCATCCCAATGGATTCTATTGCTCAGTCTCAGGGCAGAGAATCAGCCTGTCTACAATTCCCAAAACACAAGATGTCCATTTCCAGAGCTTAGCAGTCCTGACTGCTGGAACCTGGTTTTGCCTCTGCTATGATATATCTCTCTGTATAGGCATATAGATAGAGCATAATTTTATATAATTTTGAATGTGTAATTTTTCTCACTAATCAAATGATGCATGCCTGTATAAAGATGTTTTAATGTAAATAAGCATAAGGAAGATGATTAAGACCAACCAAAAATCTTATCACCTAAAAATAACTACTGCTAATAACTTCAGGATCTATTTCCAAACTTTATAAAAAATCACAAAATAAGATCATTTCAGAATACTTTGTAACCTGATCTTTTACTTAACAGTACGATTGTCAATACTCTTCTGTGCTAACAAATATTGATCAACACTATTATAGTCCATCCTGTGAATGCACCATGATTTGTGTAAATAGTTTCCTGATTTGGGGCACGTATATTGCTTCCACTCTTTTGCTGTCTAAACAACAGTAAAAAAGTTTTTTCGTCTTAGTAATTTTCCTAAGATAAATTTTTAGAATTGGAATTCTAGAATTGTTAAAGACTGTGAAGACTTTTTTCAGACTCTCCAGGAAGACTGCATCTTAGACGCAATGAAAATGCCTCCATTTAAGAAAATCACTTTGGAGAAAGGGATTTCTTTTGTTCAAGCGCAAGAATGAGTACTATGTTAAAAAATTACTCTAGTTAGGGGCACCTGATGACTCAGTCATTTAAGTGTCTGACTCTTGATCTCAGCCTCAGGTCATGATCCTGGGGTCCTGGGATAGGGTCCTGCATGGGTTTCTGAGCTCAGCAGGAAGTCTGCTTGAGATTCTCTCTTTCCTTCTCCCTCTGCCACGCCCCCCCGCCCTGCCATGTGCACACTCTCCCTCTCTCTCTCAAATAAATAAATATTATAAAAAATTACTCTAGCTAAAAGAAAAATCCAGTTTGTTGGGGAAAAAAAAACACTTTCTGAAAAACTTGCCAAGTATCTACTTATTTTACTGTCACGAAATCCATACTTTTTTAAAAAAGATTTTTATTTTATTTGAGAGAGAGAGTGTGAGCAAGCATGAGCAGAGGTGAGGGGAGAAGGGGTGGGGGGAGGGGGGAGGCAGAGAGAGAAGCAGACTCCCTGCTGAGCAGGGAGCCCAACATGGGGCTCCATCCTAGGACCCTGAGATCATGACCTGAGCCGAAGGCAGATGCTTAAGCAATTGAGCCACCCAGGCACGCCATGAACTCCATACTTTCAAAAAAAAAAAAGATTAGATACTTTCTCCTTCTGAGGGAAAAAGGGTGCTATTTATTGTATAAAGCAATGCCTTATGAATTTTGACATACCATTGCTTGAAATTCCATATTTAGCTCGTAAGTTTTAAATATCCTTGATTTTAGATATTCAGCTATGTTTGTGTGAGAGAATTCTGGGGGAAAAAAAATCGAATTTTCCCCTAAAATACCAGTATTTGGTTGATTGTGCAAAGCTTAATATGTAAGAATCTCTTTTTTTTTCTATTTTTTATTTCTGTTCTTTATTGAACATGGACATTCACCAAATAACAATTACAAAAAAAAAGAGTTTTGATAGAAACAAATTTTCTTTGACAAGAGTACTATTTAATAACTGGCCTACTCAGATTCCCTAATCAATACTTGGATTTCCTTTGCTAATTGTTCACCTTATGTATTATTGCATACTACACTGTTTAGCCTGTATCAAATTGATTTTGAAATTTCTACATCAGAAAAAAAAACAGTGATTTGATCATTATTTTTCTTCATAAAGGTCTGCATTTGGCATCTTCACATTTTCTAAATATGTGTGTACATCAGAAATGTCAATATTATAGAGTGTCTTTTTGGTGTGGTTTCATTTTAATATTGTTCATTTACCTTTGTTATATAATAAATAATTAAAAATGCAAACGTTACATTTTGTGCAAAATGGCCTATATCCAAAATCTTACATTTATAGCGACAGCCAAAATAAGTAAGTGGCACTGACAGGGTTTTTTTTTTTTTTTCTACTATATCTAACATCATAGTTTTAACGAATGTTAAGTAGTTACACATTTTTAACATTTCCTAAATAGAAAATTTCATTTTGACATTTGATATTTAATATGATCTCTTGATATTTAATATGCTCTTTTGTCTAATTCTTAAAAAATGTGACTTCAGTATTATATGGACTAAAGAAAGAACATGTAAATTTTTTTAGAAAGCAAGGTGTGACATGTTTTAAAGAGCTCCTTTAGGGACTTTGAAAGAGCCATGTTGAATTCACCTGGGGGAAACTTGGGTGAACGATTCAATAGGTCTCTGTCCTCACCAGTTTCCAGTGCAGTCTTCCAGAAGGGACGTTCTCACCTGGGAACTGAACTGAGCCCAGTGACTTCACACCCTGCCTCAAGAGTGTCCTGCTCTCCTGGGTCTCCGTTGGGAGACACAAGCCCTCGCCAGCCTGGCCAACGGTCACCACTAGGGCTGCCAGCCTAGCCCCCGCCCTGGGTCCGGTGCATTTTCAGCAGCTTCCTTTACAATGTCTGACAGACCCTACTTTACTACATATTATATGCTCCATGATATAGCACAAATAGTAATAAAAAGTCATTACTTTTACTTATTCCTGTCAAGCTGCCATTAATAAAATATGAAACCAAAATCATCCTAAGGCGAAACAAGCTATGTCGTGCTGATTTCATCTTTTATTTAGTGGGAAGTCAAGAAATGCTGCCTCAACTTGGCAGGTGAAGAAATAGGGTTTGAGTCACAGTATTTAAAGTTATAGAGGTAGCCCACAGCAGCATGAAAAATAAAACATGTCTAAATAAGAGGAAGGGAGGGAAGGGATGACAAATGTGAGCTTAATCCATTGTGCTTCACTGGGGAAGTGAATAGGTACACCTAAAAGGAGGCAAAGAAATAAATGCATACACAGATTATTTAGAATGAAACTTATTTTTTTTTCATATTACAACCTATTGAATTACCTGATTTTTAATTTTCATGTAAATGTACTACTTTATTTTATAAAATCACATCCTGTTTTTATATGCATCTGTGTGAGTCCTAGGCCAAACCTTCCTTAACAGAATGAGTACACAGTCAGACACCTGTCAGATGAAACCCATTTCAAATCTTTGAAGACCCTGAGATCTTATGCAAGTTTCTGTGCCCTTCTATGCCTCAGTTTTCTCATCTAAATATTAGGTAAAATGATAGTATGTGCCTCATGAGACTGTGGAGGGAATTATATATGATATTATAGGTAACATATTTTGAAATATTTAGCTCGATAAATATTAGTTGTAACTTACATTTGGGGTGCACTTAATTGTTTTTGAAGATTTTATTTGACAGAGAGAGAGAGAGAGTGCTTGAGCGTGCATAAGTCAGGTGGGGTGGGGGAGAGTGAGAGACAGAATCTCAAGAAAACTCTGCACTGAGCATGGAGCCCAAAGTGGGGCTCCTTCTCACAACTCGGAGATGATGACCTGAGCTGAAATCAAGAGTCAGTCGCTTAACCGACTGAGGTTAGGGTGCCCCATTAGGTGCACTTAATTTTTAAAGTAGGCTTTTTTATTCCGGGTAGTTAGGATTTACAGGAAAGTTGCAAAGATGGTACAGAGAATTTCCCATGTTCCCTGCATCCAGTTTCCTCTGTGGTTTAGATCTTATATTAGCATGGTACAATTATTACAATTAAAGAATCAATATTGATATATTATTATTAACTAAAGTCCATACCCATATTCTATTGGGTTTCCTTAATTTTTACCAGATGTCATTTTTGTGTTCCTGGATTCTATCCAGGGTGCCACATTACATTCAGTTGTCTTGTCTCCTTAG